AAAGTAGCGTTAATTTAAGAAAATTTATTATTACAAATTTCTTTTTTTATTTTTCTAAAAAAAAAAAAATAATTTAAGTAACTAAGCCCATCAATTTGCAGCCAAATTTTAGATGTCTTTACCAAATCAGTAAGAAGCGTGTGCATGTTTATGTGATTTTGGTAGAATGTGTGCGTGTTCATTTTGGAGATATGGAAAATTTTGTTCAAAATTTTACCAATTCTTTTCATTTACCAGAATTGCAGAAAATTCCATTTATTTACAAGTAGAATTATATACAAAGCCAACATAATTATTTTTATGCACATACAACCAAATATTCAATTAAGAAACATTTCCTTTACTCTGCAATGAATCTTAAGAATTTCGCAATTTTTTTTTCAAATATATATTTAATATTATATTAATTCTCCTTAAAAGATGTTCAAGTATTACAAAAAAAAAAATTAAAGTAATCAGGGGAAAATCAGGGGACAAAATCCTTACGTCTTTAAATCTGTCAAGTACTCAATTGAAATGAATAATTTCACATAGATATATGAATGTCTAATATCATAATATTACAGAAGCTTATATTGGTTGACAAAAGATCAATATGAAACAAAAATTCAATAATTATTTCCATTTTAAGATGGCTGCTTATTTATATTAAATATTTTATTAATAATTAAAAATAAAACAAAATAAATAAATAAATAATAAATAATAATAAAATAAAAATAATAAATAAACAATAATAACAAATAAGTATGTACAAATCAATAATAAATAAATTAATTGTATAAATATTTGTTATACGAATAACAAATAAATATATAACAATAAATAAATATGTTATCATAAATAAATAACTAATAATAAATAAGTTAGTAATAATAATATACTAATATAATAATACACTAATATAATAATATACCTTAATAAATAGTAGAAATTACATAATAATAATAAAATGTTATAATAATAAAATAATAATTATAAATAAATACATAAATAAATAAATACATAACAATAAACTATAGCTAATAAATATATTATTATTATAAATAATTATAATAAATAACAAATAATAAAAAACAATAATAATAATAAATCAAACAAAAAAAACAAATAGCAAAAAAAAACAAATATAAACTAATTAATAATAATAGTAAATGAATAATAAAAAATAAATAAATAATAATAATAATAAATGAATAATAAAAAATAAAGTAATAATATATGTAATAAATAAATAAATATATAAATATACAATAACAAAAAATATAGTACAATAAATAAATATATTAGAATAAGTAAACAATAATAATAATGAAATAAATTTAATAAATATAATATAACAGAGTAAATAATAAATAGGTAATAATAAGATAAATAAAGAAATAAATAAATAAAAAAGAAAAAAATATAGTAGCAATTATATATAGTATAATAAATAAGTAATAATTAATAAATAAACACAAATGGATTAAATAATAATAATAACATAAATAAAATAATAAAATAAATATAACAAATACAAAAATAAACAAATAATAGCACATATAAAATAAATACATAAATAATATATAATAGTAAATAAACTATAAATAATAAATAGTGTACATCTGAATAAAAATTAATGTTAATAATGGAATTAAAAATAATAATACAATACACAAAAAAAAAAAAATAATAATAATGAATAACAAATATATGAGTCAATAATAATATAAATAATAATTAAAAATAGATAATAAATAAAAATAATAATAAATAAGTAAATAATAATGAAAAATAGATAATAATAAAAATATGATAACAATAAATAAATTATAATAAAAAAATAGATAATAATAAAAAAATAAATATATGATAATAATAAACATATGTTATAATAAAAATTTTTTTTTAATTTTTTACAATAAAATAATATTTAGAGTTTTTGCTTATAGGTGGCATTAGAAAACTTCATTAAAAATATTTTAAACTTTGTCAAACACGTAAGTACCTAAGTTATACTAACTAGTGATTTTTCATCCTATGAGCTTTAGAAATAATAAAATGTTTATAAAAATTCTAATATGTTAAATAGAAATAGGGAATATTGAAATTGACAACCTTTTCATTTTCTAATAAACTGTCGGTAAACGATAAACGATGAGGCTCTATGCTCCACGAGGAAAAGAGAACTTACATTTGTCCTTTTTAAGTAAGTCAACAATTAATAGTAATATCATCATCATTGGCTTAATAATTACAAATAAATATGTTGAAATCATTTATTATTTATAACAATTATTTATTGATGAGATTTTTTAGTATAAATTTCTTTTTATAAATGTTAACAATAGAGTAGACCACATTGTATATTATAACATATATAAGCCAATAAGACAGATTCATTGCATGAAGAAATGTAACGAAGAGAATATTTTAATATAATTTTTTTAAATGGTGTGCATTTTTTGAATAATGCAAAATAATATTAAAAAAAAGGAAATAAAAATTCTGTTATCCTTAATGTTAGCATTAATAAAGATATTACATTAATTAGCATTAATAAAGATCTGAAATTACAAAATTTACAAAGAGAACAAGCTATCGTTAACGATAGGCAATTCTGTATTAGGTAAATCAGGCGCACACACACAATTTGTTCGATTGAAAATATATATATAAAAGGTTTCGAAAGACACAGCTTGAGCTGTTGGAGGTCTTACTCTATAATATAGAGCATATAGAGATAAATAATTTTTATTACATTTTTGTACATCTAAATAAAAATATATAGCTTTAGCATTTAATAGCTTGATTTGAAATACTGGGAACATTTATAGTTGATGTTTTAAAATTCTGAATCATGCTAAGAGAGATAGACAGAGAAAGAGACAGTGATAGACACAAGACATAAATAATTTGCATTAATTTACACACAAAAAATACAAATTTACTAATTGAACTTATACTAGCGATTCAAATAACTTAAAAAGTTGGAAGCATTAAGCTGAAGAACATTCTTAAAGCATAAAATTTGATATATAATTTACTCTTTTAAATAATTTAATAATAACAATTATAAGTAATGCAAGAATTAAGTCAATTTTGCTTTAAAAATATCCTTCAACTTGAGTGAAACGAAATAATTCATAGCAATTACAACAACTGGCAAAGCTATTTTTTTTTTCATTTTTTTATTTTTTGTTACTTTTTCTTTAAAGTTTTTAGCGTAACTTTACGAAAATTCCTTTGCTTTTGGTGTTTTCATTTTAATTACTTTTAGAAGCAAATACCAATAATTCTCTTAGTTTTGTTACATTCAATTTACCCAATACAGTATTGCTGTCCAGCCTTCCATTGTGATACATTGGAATACAGTCAACATGGCAAACCCGATATTGTCAAAACTAGTTATGCCAGAATTTGGTCCATCCCACTTTTCCAGACACATACTCGTATTATAATTACATACATATGAACCACCTGCTTTATCATGTATATTATCCGTATTACAAGGCGTCTCCGATTCGCCTTCCTTAACAGGTTTATCTGAAATTATATTACATTATTTAGTTTCATTATTCAATATGAAAAATTCAATGATATAATATTTATTAAATGTTTACTTGGATCTTCTAAACTATAACAAGTCTTATGCAGTGCGCCCGAATAGAACTCGAGTCCAATGATTGCAAATATAACGATGGCAAACAAGACCAAAAGTCCGATTTGAAGCAACGGTGCCATTGCCTTGATAATAGATTTTAAAACTACTTGTAAACCTGGTTGACGTTGTAGATTTCATTTCATTCAGTTCGTAGATACAGCGACGTTGAAGTTAGTTAATAAAAAAATTGTATTAGTAAAAGGTTGTGATAAGTTGTTTAAAAAAAAACAATTAAAAATCAATTTTATCTATAACAATATTCTATGCTATTTATGTATTACAATCTGAGCGAATGGTTAGTAGTCACTACATTATTGTAGCTCAAAATGTAGCACATTTCTATAACAACAAATAAAAATAAAGAACTTTATTTAAATGATGAAATAATATCTCTTTAGTTATATACTTTCGAATAAAGGTATATCCCAAATATAAATTATTCATTATTTTCTTCAAAATGTATTAAATCCCAAAACATATCTTGGAGGCTTTATAACACATAAAAGCGGAAAAGGGAAATAAGTTGGTGTCAGAATCAATGAAGCTGAAGATACTTTTATTCAACTTAAATGATATAGATTTATAGGCATATGTCTATCTTTATAAAATTTCGCTTATTCAATAAAAGCATTTTTATTTTATGGAAGTGATGCATGGAAATGAAACTATTCCTATTCAACCCATAACTCATATCTTTATAAAACAATTTCTACGTATTCATGCGCTCAGACAGACCAAATTAAAGCAACAGATTAAATGCATAAGTGCAAATAGGGTTGGATAGGACTCACTTTAAGAGGTATAAATAGCAATACGATTCAAAACATTACTATATCTATTAAGATTTTCAAATCGTTGAGTTACAATGATGGAACTTATTTTCTGTCTCTTCATGAAAAGAGATATTCCACCAATCATAACCACAAGGGTTTATAGTTTATTTTCTGTGAGAAAATCTAAATGTAAATAATCATAATACAATGAATTTACTTGTGATAATTACAATTCAATGAGAGTTTGCAGTACAACCAATTAAAGTGATCGACCTTTTATTAAAGATTCTTGGAAATTATTTAAACATTTTTTTGGTTTTTCATTTAATTCTCCATTAAAATAAATTCGTAGCTTTGGGCCTAATTTTTTTATATTATTAATTTAAATAAAATATTTATATATCTTCTTCAATCTAATAGATATCAACATCAATCTAATAGATATCAACATCAATCTAATAGATATTATTTCATTATTTAATAGTCATACTATTCTAAAACTAAAAACTTTTAATAAAATGAATTAATCTAATTAATTAATTAATTTTGTTTTTAGAATTGATTCAAATATCAATCAATTAATATATAACAACAATTATTTTTTTAATTATCTATTTAAAAAATGATAAATTCATTTTACTAAAATACTAATATTAATAATTATTATATAAACTATTTTTTTTTTGGAACCCAATTCAAACTAAAAAACAATTTTCTAATTTTCTACAAATTAATAAAAATACTAAAAGCTAGTAAATATTTTTTTAGCTAATACTTAAAACTAAATGCACTACTCACTAGGAATTCCAGAGACTAATTTTAAGGGCCGTAGCACACGTATAGCCCTAAGTGTTCTTAGATCTACTTCGGGCCCTTTTTGTGGGAACATTGTGATGAATCTGTTGTTGTTTTTTTTTTTGTTTTTATATTGAGAGTTGGTGCCAGTGTTTTTGTATTTTTGTATGTTCAATGTAAATGTTTATAATAAAAAGGAAAATCGTAACAAAATTTTTAAGAAAATGTCACAATACAAATTCATTATATTTCATATATATTTTATTAATTATTAATAAATTAATAGCAACAATATTTTGGCATTTTTTGTTTTGTGTAAAAATTTGTTAATATGGATGAAAATAAAAATATAATATATAAAAAACTCATTTAGTATTTGTTTTAAAAAAAAAATTTTTTTAAGTTTTTTACTAATATATTATTAGAGAAAACAACAATTAGTGAGCTTAGCAGTTATGTTAATGTGAGAAAAATTTTGAACACCGACACCGATTATTTAAAAAAAATCTAACATTAGCACATTTGCGTTTGCTCTTTGTAAAAATTAAAAAAAAAACTTATATGCAAA